AGCAATTGACTTACACGTTTTCTTCTTGTAACCTCAGGTGTACCCAGTGTTTCTTAACTTCCCCCTTTTAAAAATGACAACGTTAATCCTCCTCCTCCTTCGTTCAGTGCTTCACATCCCAGCTGCTACCTTTGTGCTTTAAATTTTGTCCTAATTTGTATTGGTAACAAGTACATTTAGTTCTCATATTTGTATGTTGTGTATATATTTTTGGTCCTGAAGAAGAGACTGCCGAGAGCTAGTAAGACTGAATGAATGGGCGTCTCCACAGACGGCCAGGCTGAGTGTGAACTGGCACAGTTTGCATGCAGTGTGGCTCTGGGTATAAAAGCTTCTGAGATGTTGATGCCTCTGACCTAGTCACTCTCCTCCTACAAATGTCTTAAGGAAATCATCTCAGATGTGGGCAAAGTTTTTCTGGAAAGCGGATGTTCTTTGTAGCCAAATTTATATGAAGATTAGAAACACTGTGAGGTCCATCAGCTAGGGGTGGACAGCAGAGGGAACAGGGCAGCACCAGGAGGGCGCAGCAGCCACAGCAGGGGCGCCGGCATCTGGCAGGATCCAGGCCTTTGTGGGACGAAGAATCTTAGAGAAGCAACAGGGGCCCCGGCTGTCCACTGCAGCACCGTGAATTCACCAAGACGAAGGCTTAGGCACAGCTGCGAGACATGGATTTGCAGTGAGGCGTCATGTACAATGAGCACGAATACATGACTTAGTGTGGATTATTTAAGGGAGCAGAGCAGAGTCACTGAAGACGTGGGATTGAGGCAGGGGTCCTGGCTCTAGCACTGTTGTGAAAACACTGGCAAGTTCCCTAACTTTTGTGGATTCCTCTGTGTTCAGATGGGAAAGTGGCCCCCACCTCCTGGCCTGTGTGTGGTCATCTAGTGAGACACGTGGAAGAAGCCCTGCACAGCACAGACACTCAGCACACACTGGCTGTCATCCATCAGTCATCACACACGTGCCCAGGCCCAGGTCACTGTCACAACATTCCTTTCCGTCTCTCTTTCTGTGTACAGACTCTAGTTTCTGTCATTGTCAGAGAGCTGCCCATCCTCTGATTATCTTCTCCTCATACCCCAGCTGGACAAGCTGCCTTTGCCTTGGTGTGGGAGTGAGGGCAGAGGGAGCTGGAGCGAGGTGAGTGTCTGTAAATAGCAGGTGATGGGGGCAGGTGACGGAGAAACCATCTGGGTTAGGTTGGCCTTGGCATTTGCTGCCACCCCAGAGGGATCTGCAGAGCCCAGCTGCTGGAGCCCCCCTCTGCCCACAGGTGGCTCACATTCCATCTCACAGTTTGTTTTCTTCTCCTTAAGGATGCAGCAGAACCTTCCAGGCGAGAGAGTGGCTGGAGAACTCCAAGGCAATTCTGTCCATGACCGGTTTCTTGAATTGGTAAAGTCAGGTAGGCTTGAATCCTCTTCCCTGGCTGCTTCCTACTCACACCTAAAATAACGGGTGGCACCTCCAGACCTGAGTGAGCCCCAGAGTAACCCAGGTGAAGAAGGACCTGGGTTTGCCCTGAACCCCGAGAGAGGCCATGTGGGGTTCCCCAACCCAGGGGTCTGTGGGGGCACCTGCGTACTAACCTCACCTCAGGGGGAACAGGCTCAGGTGCCCACTTTCTCCCTTCCCTGGCAGCTAGCAAATGACTCAAGTGGGGCAGGACGACCTTGGGGAAGTAGAAACAGCAGGGTTGGGGAGTGAGGGGAGGGCAGGGGCCAGGAGGAGGGGAGGGCAGGGGCCAGGAGGAGGGAAGGGCAAGGGCCAGGAGGAGGGGAGGGCAGGGGCCAGGAGGAGGGAAGGGGTGGAAGAGGAGGTTGACCAGCAGCTCTGACCCTGGGGTGTTTCCAGCAAAGGCAGGTCCCCTCCCTGCAGCTCCTGGCCTCCACCAACCCCTCTGCTCTGAGTGCCCCTGTGGGAAGAGTGACCTAGTGCCCGGCTGAACTGGACCCCATTCTGGCCTTGGCCACGTCCCCTCTGTGTGGCCTGGAGCTCTTTACTCCTCGTCACCTGCACCACCACGATACTATTTCTCCGTGTTGTCATGAGGATCAAATATTACACGGGTACCTGGCCCAGCCAGAGCCTGCCACACAGTAGGGCCTCCCCCATCCCCTCTACCTGTCTCCTGTTGATTTCAGATGGAAGCCACCCCCTCCCCTAAGCTGTGTCGGGGCACCCGCCCTGCACTGCTCATCACAGGCACCTGCTCAGCAGGGATGACTGCCTCGGGCAGGGCCTCATTCCCATGATCTCAGAAACCCCTGGTCAAAGAAACATCTGAGGCACAATAACATTGATTTGAATAAGAAGGAATTCATGACTTGAGAAAGCCACACTGGAGGAGGTTTGGTGTTATGATGAAAAAGTGTCTATCGGGTGAATATGGAGGTGCGGTCAGGACGTTATCTGATCGGTTCCAGTCACAAAACTGCCTGTTGTGGTTGACCTTGCTGGAAAATTCCTGGTCCCGTCGGAGCCGGTGGGTTCAGGGAGGTCTCTGAGAGCAGGTGAGACCGGACCTTAGCCTCGTCCAGTTTTTTCACGCCGCTGAGAGAGAAAATTTGAGTGAAAGCAAAAGCGAAACGGCTTTTACTGCAAAGCGGCAGGCAGGCTCGGGGTGGGAGTGCGGCGGCCTCGGAAGGGCCGGTGGGGCCCAGTGGGCTTGAGGTTTCTGTCTTGGTGGATTTACTAAATTAAGGGGCAGAGTCAGCATGAGGATTTCTGGGCAGAGGCGGGGATTTCCTGGAACTGGGGGGCCACGCGGTTCTGTAGCAAACACGGAACTGCCGTGGCGCGGGCGGGTGGGTTTAGTGAGACAAGGAGGATGTGATCGGGTGTGGCAGGAAACGTGGGCCAGACCCGGCACCGAGGTCGATCTCACTGGTCTTATCCGGACTGGCCACATGTGTTTGTCGGGGTCCGGTGGGCCCGTCCCCTCCCCCTTCCCTGCAGCTGGTTCCAGCAGCTCCTTCTGTGTCCCTCGTGTGAACCTGCTGCCTGGAGTTCCTGTTTCTTCTGTGACCTCTCACTGTCCCACCCCCGCATGGCCCTGTGAGCTGGCTGCTCATGCCTGGCCGAGGTTAAGTTCTGTTTGTGTCTAACGTGGGCACGCATCTCACATGACCCAGTAGGGGTCCACAGCGTGCAGCTGAAGGGGGGTTACTGCCATCCTGAAGGCCTGGTTGGTTTTGTTTGTCCAGGAATGTTTCAGGCCCGGTTTTTATTTTTATTTTGCTTTTGTAGCCACTACCCCCCCCATCAATAAAACAAATTTAATGCTGGAGTTTCCCTCCTTCCAACCCTCTAACCCTTCTGCTTTTGGTGAAGAAGGAAAAAGAGAAAACAGGACAAGCCCCGGCCCAGCCAAGGCAGCGCTGCATTCCTTCCCTAAGCCCCATTTCCTCAGGACGGCTTCCTCCCCTCACAGAGTTGCCTTGGCAACCAAGTCAGATCTGCTCAGCAGCCGCCCTGGACAGCAAACTGGGCTGTGCTGAGTCCTGTCCAAGACGAGGGGAGGACAGGGAAGATTAGAAGCCAGGACCTCCCAGATGACCCAGGAATCCTTGGAAGGGCTGTCCTGGGGAGCTCAGGAAAACTCTCCCTCCAAAACGCAATGATCTGTGGTTTAATAAAGGGGTCAGCTGGGTCCAGAGGTGCCAGTGGGGAGCCGTGTACCCTGACACCAGCCTGAAAGGAACAGAGGACACAGAGGGGCCACAAGGATTAGTGCTGAGGGTCCCGCCCCCGTGACCCACGGAAGAACCCCCTCCACTGCCCATCTGAGAGCACCCACGACCAGCAGGAGAAATCTCCTTTGCGTGGTAGTTGTACTCGATGCTGTGGAGCTTGAGACATTATTTTTAAACAGACTTTAAATAGCACCACAGGTAAGCTGTACGGGAGAATGCCGAAGTCAGAGGCATTTTGCAAACATAAGGAGTCTTCGAAGCAGTGTCACAGAAACGTTGGCCTTGGAGTCAGATCCTGAGCTTCCTGCTTGCTGGTTTTGGGCAGTGACTCTCGCTGTCTGGATTTTACTTTCTTCTTCTGTGAATTAAGAATGAGGCCTCTTGTACATCCACAGCAGGAAACAATTTACATCATGTCTCAGTGCACACACATGTACATACTGGTCCCCAGTCCCTGATCTGCCATTCCCTAATTTCCATATCGCTGCAAAGCACACATGGGGGCAGCTGACTTTGGAAGTAATCCTGCTCTGTACTGCCTTGAGTTCTTGGTAGGAATACAATTATTTATCCCATTAAATGTGAATATTTGCTTGTTTCACTGTTGAAACAAGGAATTTACGTTAAGGCTTACATATTTGAAATAACTCACATAAACAACACTCGCCCCTGCTGTGCGTGGCACACTGATATTTTCATTCGATTTTCTTTTTAAAACGTTGCTGTTGAACCAAAAAACAAACTTCATACCCCAATGATGTGTTGAATCTCATATTTTGAAGACACTGGTGTAAAGTGCTTGACACCAAAGAGGCGCGTGGCCCTTGGCCTGGAAGCCTCCCTTTTTATTGGCTCCGAACTGAAAAGGATTCGTTCCTCCCTAAAGCACCGTGGCACTCCCCTGGCGTTTCGGTGTTCTCAGGCTGTTGTAGCAGAATACCACAGGCTGGGTGCCTTCAACGCCGGCTTTAATTTTCTCCCAGTTCCAGAGGCAAGAAGTCCCAGGTGACGGTGCCAGCAGGGTTGGTGTCTGGGAAGGGCACCCTTGCTGGCTTGCGGAGGCTGCCTTTGTGCTGTGTGCGCACCTGGCTTCTCGTGTCATTTTCTCTTACAATAGGACGCTAGTCCTCTACTAGGATTAGAGCCCTACCCTTGTGATTTCATTCAGTCTCAATTGCTTCTTTAAAGGCCTGATCTCCAAATATAGTCACCCGAGTTTAGGGCTTCAGCATACGAATTTTGAAGGCACACAATTCCATCTACAGCACTGATGACTTCATCCACCATATCCCACCTCATAGCTGTCCAGGAACATGACCGTGTAACCACCTTTTATGCAATGGCTGTTATGCTCTTCCACAATTTCTTTCAACATTATCCTTTTTTCTTTCTGACTAGATACTAGCAGGTTTATTGAGGATGCCCGCAAGTATATTCAGGACAGAATGAGCACAGAGCAGCTGCTACAACTGCTGACTGACGCTGAAGCCTGGGAGAGATTTGTGACTGCTGCTGAACTGTCCAGGTAACCTCTGTGTGCTTGCATCCACAGGGTGCCCCAGTGATGTCACCCAGATCTCCCCTGGGGTAGTTTTCCCTGACAGGCACACCTCCTCCAGGCAGCCCCCTCTACTGGGCTTGAGGATGACCTTCTCAGCAGTCGAGGACAAATATTTCCTCCATGTCCTTTAAAACTGGCAAGTGAGTAGCCTCAGGCTGAGGGGAAAGGAAGCCCACAGGGACAGGGTCATTTCTGCCATCTGCTGGTGATGGGACCTTTATGAGTTACTTTATCACTCAGCCTTTCTTCATCCATGGAGTTTTATTGTGAGAAAAATAAGATCATACATGTAAGTGCTTAGCATAATGACTGACAGATAGTAAGCGCACAGCTTGGTGGAAACACTAACGTCTAACAAGCTTGGTGGAAAGAGACCAGGTCGTTTTCTTATTGAAGTTGGGAGCCAGCAGGACTTCCTCTGGGAGAAGTCAGAAAAATCCTGACCTCATCAATGTGGGTTCCTGGGGATGCTCACTGGGCCCCTTGTTCTCATCTGAGGAAATCTGTAAACACGACAGGCCCCTCTGCTGGCCCAGGGTGCTGACAGGCTGGAGTTGGACAGCGCTGTTTCTTCTGGCTCTGTCTGCGCCTAGTCCCTGGGCTCTAGGCTTATGTCATGGAGACTGGGAACTGCCATCTGTCTATTAGAAATAGCAGCTCAGTGTCTCAATGTGATAGGCTTATGGTAAAGGCCTTAGAGTGAACTCCAGGTCAAAGGTGGGGAACCAAGCACCAAGATCCTGCCTAAAGGCCCGGAGAGACTGGGACAAGTGTCGGAGCCAGTGGTCAGGATGGAGCAAGAGTCAGCCGTGGTTGTAAGACAAGTAGGAAGGCTGGGGCACCAGGGCTGGGACTAGGGTGTGGCAAAACAGGCACCAAGAGCTGGAAACTTAAGGAGGTCATGAACTTGCAAAGGACACGTGTGAGAGAGATGTTATTTCCCTCAAGGAGGTCATGAACTTGCAGAGGACATATGAGTGGGAGAGGGATATTTCTTCCCTCTCTGGATTGACCCCATCACTCATGGGCATAGATGGTCATGGTCGCCTGTGTCCGTCACACCCTGCCTGGGAACTGGCAAGTTCTGGGCTACCCTTTGGGACTTGCTTCTCCTCTACACAGAGAAGCCCCTGACCATGGCAAGGCCCTGTGCCGTAGCGACCATTTCCAAGGTAGAATGAGTTGCTGCCAATTTGTGTGATTTCAGTGGTACTGAGCAGACTCACAAGTCCCCAACCAATGAGGAAAACACTTCCTCTACCATCTTGTCCAAATTCAGGTCTTTTCAGCATTAGTAATTTATATAGATGGTTCTGAAAGTGTTTTGACTCTTCTAGAGGTACCATAAAATTGCACATGGCCTTGGCGTACACACAGGTGAAACTGTCACTGCTAAGGCATCAGTTAGGCTGGTGACATCTGAGAGTGAGGCCTGGAAGGTTGGGGTGCAGGTGGTAGGTCAAGAGGTGGGAAGATGGCTGGGCCATGTGAAGCCAGAATTAATAGTCAGGTCTTCCACTCCAGTCAGCTGGGGCAGTGCCTGGACCAGTAGCCTTCAGGCAGAGGTCAAAAGCATAAGACATTGGAAGGTAGCAGATGCCAGGCAAAGTGATGCCCTGTCTCTCTGAGGTTTTGTTTTTGTTTAAATTCAAAGTACTCAGAGGTAGCCAGACTGCACTGTCTGAAGGCACGCTTACCTTTCACACCACCTACAAATTAATGGAGATTCTTGAAATCATCCTTAGATTTTATAATTGACTAGAAGGACTCACAAACTGCTATTGCACGATTGTGGTTTATCACAGGGAAAGAAGACATATTAAAATCAGCCTAAGGAAGAGAAACACAGGGCAGAGTCTGGGAGAGTTTTGGTGTGAAGCTCCACTGTCCTCAGGATTCTGTGTTTTACCTTGTTGATGTGGGGTCAAACACACGGGGTGTTGCCAACCAGGGAAGCTCACCCACTTAAGAAAAAATTCCTGTGAATCACATTGAATCAGGAAGGAAGCCCTTATTCAGGATTGTTGTTAGAGGGGAGGGAGACTGAGGCCAGCTCCGAATACAGTGAAGACAGAGGTGGAGTGACAGCCTACACCAGGGTGAGGGGCGCCAGATGGAACAGGACTGACAGGAGACACCAGAGTGGGGGGTTGGTGCCAAACTGGCCTAACAGGACTCTCCCTAAAGGCAGGTCAGACACTCACCCATCAAAGGTGGGGGTGAGGAGTGTGATGAGATGGCAGAGGGTGATCAGACAGCATCGGGGTAGGACCCTCCCTAAACCGACTTGGAGTGAGTCTTGCAGAGCTGGGACCATGTGGGCCCAGGAAGCAGTGTGTGGTCATGGAAGGCCAAGGCCGGTGCCTCGTGGAGAAGAGGCTTGGAAGAGCCCAGCTGGAGTTTGGTCAAGGAGAAGGTTTTTCTCAACCCATGCCTTAGTGTCCAGAGTACTTGCTTTGGCTGGATCGCAAGCTGCCCTCATGGCTGACCTGGAGTCTCCAGCCCCTCCCTGAGGTCTAACCCTTTAGTCCCCAGGTCCTCTGGAAGTCAGGAAAGACACCAGATAGCCCCAAACCCCATCATCCATCACATCGCTATTCTGTCCCGTGGCCAAATCACCAGGCAAAGAAGACGTTCCTACCAGGCAGGACGTTCCAGGGGCCTGGAGATCACTTCCCAGGGGCTGAGGACAAAGGAAAGAGCTCTCTTTGGGAAAGTTCAAGTTCGTGCTGCCCTTTGCTGCCATCCTGGGAATAAGGTGTCTTTGTCCCACTCTCACTGTCCTTGCTTCATCTGCAGAGTTTCCCCTCACCAAACACTGTGGCAGGGGTGGTGTTGAGCTGCCCTTGAGTGAGGAGGCATCTTTATCAAACATCTACTGGGAAAGAGCATCTGAGATGCCCTTAGGGTATTTATTTGCGTATTGAATGAGTGCTGAGCAGTGTCGATGACGAACAAAACATGTTTGAGTTTGAAAGAGAATTCTTTCCATTTGTAAAATTTGTTTCCGTTTCATTGATAGTGAAAGCTCTGCAATTTACACAGGAGAGAGATCTCATCGAGCTCACTTCACAGATAGGGAAACTGCATTTCTTAATCATTTAACCTTTTCTTGTGCAGGCCTGAGGCAGATGAGCTCCGTGAAGCTCTGTACAATCTTGCAAGATACATGGTGGTGAAGGACAAAAATTGGCGTGATAAAGATCAGCAGCACAGGGAGTGGTTTTTGAAAGAGTTTCCTCAGTTGAAAAAGAGGCTTGAGGAACACATAAGCAGGGTCCGTGTTCTTGCAGACGGGGTTCAGCAGGTCCACAGAGGCACTACCGTCGCCAGTGTGGTGGCCAGCTCTTTCGGTGCAATGTCTTTCTTCTTGAATCTTCTCAGCCTGGGTCTGGCACCCGTGACAGACGGACTCAGCCTTGGGTTGTCAGAATTTGCAACGGGGCTGGGACTTGCAGCTGCTGGGACTGGGATTATCAGCGATGTCGTGGAATATGCAAAGAAAGGGCAGGCAATAGCCGAAAGCCGAGGTCTGATCAAAAGCAGCAACGCTGATATGCTAAAGATGGCCAAGGAGTTCATGGGTGGGAACGCACCCAACCTTCTTTCCATACCTAACAATTCTTACAAACTCATAGAAAGCATTGGAAAGCACATCCGTGCCATCAGACGAGCCAGAGCCAACTTTCGATGGGCGCCATCTGCCCCTCCCCCCGAGGTCATTGGGCGACCCTCAGTTCAAGTCGACGAACTGGCGGAGAGAGTTGCCGAAAGGCCGGCCCTGGCACTGAGCAGAGGAACCAAGATTGTGGGTATGGCCAGCGGAGTCATCTTGCTTGTGCTGGATGTGGTCAACCTCGCGTATGGGACAAAGCACTTGCTTGAGGGGGCGGAGTCAGAGTTAGCTGAGGAGCTAAATAAGCTGGCTGGGGAGCTGGAGGAGAAGCTGAACATGCTCACCAAGTGCTATGAGTTTCTGCAGGCGGACCCACAACAGTGACCCCAGAGCAGGCACAGGCCAGCACAAGATGCAAACTCTTTTTCTTTTCTTTTTTTTTTTTTTTTTGAGATGAAGTCTCACTGTGTCACCTAAGCTGGAGTGCAGTGGCGTGACCTTGGCTCACTGCAGCGTCCTTCTTGGTTCAAGCGAGTCTCCTGCCTCAGTCTCCCAAGTGCCTGGGACTACAGGCGCCCACCACCAGGTCCAGATAATTTTTGTCTTTTTGGTAGAGACAGGGTTTCACCCTGTTGACCTGGATGGTCTCGATCTCTTGACCTCATGATCCGCCCACCACAACCTTCCAAAAGTTTGGATTACAAAAGTGAGCCACGGCGCATGGCCAAAATACAAACATTTTATTAGATGGATAAAGAGAACGAGGTAAAGTTGATGGAACTGAGCGTTAGTGACTTTGGCATTCCTGTAGCAGAACACAGCAGGGAAGGGGTTAATGCAGATGGCAAGTGTGCCAAGGAGAAGGCAGGAATGCTGGAGCCTGGAATAAGGGAAGAGAGAGGACTGGAGAGTGTGGGGAATAGGAACAAGCCATTTACTTTAGACTAAAGAATGTGCTGCGGGGAGGAATAGAGGGGGCGTGCAGGAACCAGCAATGAGAAGGCCAGGAAAAGAAAGCTGAAAATGGAGAAAGCAAAGAGTTAGAAGTGTGGGATACAGGAGAAGAAACAGCGGCTCCACTGTCGACCCGCCCCCGTGTGATGTCCTTCCGAGAGCGAAGTCTCCCTGGTGGTCTCTCATTCTGTCTTTCCAGCACCCACTCCCCCTTGTCCTCCTTGGGGCGTATCTCAGTCAGGCAGTGGCTTCCTGATGGTGGTGGCAGTGGTGGTTGCCGTGTGATGGGTCCCCTCCAGGTTACTAAAGGGTGCATGTTCCCTGCTTGAACCCTGAAGGGCAGGTGGTGTGCCATGGCCATGGTCCCCAGCTGAGGAGCAGCTGTCCCTCAGAACCCAAACTTCCCAGAGAGTATCTTAGAACCAGCCAATGACAGTAGACTCATCACTCATACCCAGTAGGCAAACAGCCAGAAAATCAGCATAAAAGCAGATGAGCATTGGGAGGAGGTGCAGATCTCTAGAGCTGTCCTGCTGCCACCCAGCAGTGCCCTGTGTGTAAGTCCTAATAAACTCACCCACTTGCCAAGCTGAACTTGTTCGAGTCATTTTGTGGCCTCACAGCTTCTTCCAAGCTTTGTGGGTCGTTACAGTCTCAGGTGTTTCTCATAACGGTGATGATGGTGGTGGTGGTGACAGCAGAGTGGGGGATACCTTGGCCGGGGGCCGGAGCTCCTACAGGCCAAGGGACGCTGACGGACTGAAGAAGTTCTAAGGGAACTTGAAATGCTGTGTTGGAAAGAGTTTAATTTGGGAAGAAACAAAAAGTGAAACGTGATGCCAGGAATAGGTCAAGGAATCTTGAGGTGTGTCCAGGAGTTCAGCCCTGCCTGTGATCACGAGACCCACCTGTCTGAGCCTCAGTTTCCTCATCAGCTGAGAAGGGGGGCTGGACAAGATGGTATCTCACATTCACCTGGCTCTCCCCATCTTGTGTTCTGGAGACTTGGGTTCCGTCAGCACTGATCCTGAGCCTTTGTGGTGCTAATTGAGGCTCCCCTGGGCTCTCGGTGCCTGACTTTTTTCATCATGAGCCTTCTTCCAGGGTTTCCTCCTAAAGTTCCCTTCACCTTCTGCTATGATTGGAAGTTCCCTGGGCCTCTGCAGAAGCTGATGCTGCCATGCTTCCTATACAGGCTGCAGAACCGTGAGCCAGTTAAGCTTCTTTTCTTTCTAAGTTACCCTGTCTGAAGTATTCCTTTGCAGTAGTGTGAGAATGGACTAGTATAGCCACTAATGCTAATAGTGGTGAACATGTGTGGACTTGACTTTGCACCACTAACTGCTCTAACATGTTAGAAAACACTCACTGTACTCTTTGAAGAACCTTTGAAGTGTGTATCATTTGTATCATCATCAACAGATAAGGAAATTGAAACAGATGTTTGGTGACTTGGCCAAGGTCTGAAATCTATTAATGGCTAAAGCCTGGGTTCCAACCTGACCCTATGGACTCCACAACCCACACACTGCCTCTGTACCCTCTCTGCTGCCAATAAAAGCTTGAATGAGACCAACAGGAGATCAGAGATTTCAACAGATATTTGGAAGACTGAACTGGCTGAAGAAGTGACAACTGAATAGAGACAGGTGAGGGGAACTGCAATCCACAGCAATGCCAAGAGGACATCCAGCCAAGAAGAATCACCTGCTAGGCAGAGCCTCAGAGTGGGGAGAAGTTCACCAGCCCCATGATCCATCCAGGATTCAAGGCAGCCTTGAGTCTACACCAATAAAAAAGCAGAGTTCGTGACTCAATCAAAAAGCCCCAGAAATAATGTCTTTGTATTCTGACACTGTAGGGGATTCCCATACAGTCACCCCACAGGTAATCCTGGCAGTGGAGTTGCCTTCCTCCTACATAGGAGCAGATCTAGAATCAGGTGTGTTGCAAGTAAAAGTTTGGAGTCGCAAAGGAAATGAACACTTGAACAAAAAAGTTCTCAGCAAGGCAATTTTACTTCTGCAGGAGAGTGCTGCTTGTGAGCCTGAGTGCCATGAGAGCACCCCAGACAAGGGAGAGGAAGGCTTTTTATCCCTAATACATGAGGCTTCTACCACCGTGTCCAGTCTCCATTGGCTGGAGCTGGACCACACATTCTAAACTAAATTAGATTGGTTAAAAGCTTCAAATTTTCCTAAATAGGTAAAAGCAATGGAGATCAAAGGAAGGGAGGAAGTGGCTTGCGTGGCTTGGGAAAAGGCTAGGAAAGCGATAACATATCCAAATAAGGAAAGGAGTATATGCTACAAGCTAAGACACGCCTGGGCATGTTCAGGTATGCCCTGGCAGATCAGGGAACAAGTGGATTAGGCCTTTTAAAAATCAAAGAACGGGGAGACAGATTATGCTTTACTTGAGGAAGAATTTCACTATAGCTATCAATGTCCCCCTCTTGTTTTTATAATCTTTCTTCCTTAAACCTTTTTAACATGTCTTGACTTTGCCATTCCACTTGGTCTAGAAGTAAGAGCTTATCTGAATAAGGTGGGGGAGAATTGAAAAAGGTCTGGGTGACAGCAGTTTCCGTTAAGTTTTTGTGTAAGGCCTCAGATACAGGGTATGCTACAGCATCCTACAAGCATAAGCACACTGACCGTAAGGACAAGTGAGGTGAAGATTAAGGTTGTGATTTCTTTGCACTTGCTGAACCACTTTTCTGTCAGGCTGGTGAAAGGATTATATACTCCAGAATTTTTAGCTAGCTCATTGGACAAAGTAGTAAGCCTTTATAGTGCCTTCGTTATAGCTCTGTCACGGACAGTATTACTAGGGATAAAAGTAAAATATTGAGCTTCAATCACGACACAAACCCCACTTTTTCTGCTAATATTATGTCTAATGCTATTTTATTTTCCCAAGCCATTTGACTGGTAGGTCCTAATTGCTCTGCTATTTGTTTAATTGCACCTGCTGTATAGCTAACAAATCGTTGCTGGTGGTAGTACATATAATTTATCCAGTCTACATTTTTATTCATAGTTAGTGTCCCAGACAATGACTCAAACCCTGCAGCTTTTTGACTTTGAGCTTTGAATTTAGTACCGCTCGTGGCACCCCAATGGCATCTATATAAACATTAGGATCAAAAGACTTACAAGGTGCACTTCTTGTACTACGGTGCTTAGCTGTTAGTTTCTCTGGTGGGTGAAACACCAGGATTGAATTAGAATGCAGGTACCACTCCAGTTACAGTGTGTCTCATGAAAGTCCAACACAATACCACCAAACATCTGCTCGACGATGGATAAGGGCAGACTGATGGGTAAGCTCTTGAAAATGCTTTTTCCTAGGAACGCCAAGTTTCCCCCTTCAGGAGAGACACGAGGCAAAATTGGCCTTGGAAGATGGAGGCTGGATGGCCCTTGGAGGCTGACCCACAGGGTGCTGGACTTCAGGAAATAGCAGGGAGAGAGTCTGGCACAATTTATTACCCCAGGCTGTATGGTCTTGGAAAAAAAAAGCTATCATACAGTCTATATCTGATCTAGAGGACCATCCGAGTGAAAAGGGGACCAGCAGGGCCTCTGGTCCACCATGCACACAAGTGTAACAATTGCTTTTGTTTACAGTGCAGATGGAATATTTAACCCATCCCAGCCAGGCATCTGCCTCCTGGTACCCTGTTTCAGTTGCTTCAATTGTTTCAATTTAAGTTTGCCTTAAATTTTTACCTCTACCATATCTATCTTGGTCTTGTTATTGCTTATAGGGGGAATAGTCTGAGGATGAGGGGATGAAGGAGCAACAAAACGTATTATTTATTTATTTATTTTTGATGGAGTCTTGCTCTGTTGCCCAGGCTGGAGTGCAGTGGTGCAATCTCGGCTCACTGCACCTCCACGCCCCGGTTTCAAGCGATTCCCCTGCCTCAGCCTCCTGAGGAGCTGGGATTGCAGGTACATGCCTCCACACCCAGCTAATTTTTGTATTTTTAGTAGAGATGGGGTTTCACCATGTTGGTCAGGCTGGTCTTGAACTCCTGACCTTGTGATCCACCCGCCTTGGCCTCCCAAAGTGCTGGGATTACAGGCGTGAGCCACTGTGCCCGGCAACAAAACATATTTCAAATAATCCTCTAGGATCCTTTCCTGAGATGTCAGCCCCTATACCATAAACATGACCTAATGAAGGAGAAGAGTCTCAGGATGTGGCAATAGTGATAGTAAGCTATACGGGGTTACATTGGTTATATTGACAATGGGGAGGAGCAAGTCCTTTAGTGAAATGGATAAACGGTTTTAAGGACTGGCAAAGACTTGTGGGAGCAGTCCAGCGGGGACCTTTGGTATTCCACAGGACACTGGACCAAGTATAACAGAGGGAATCTGTTTGGGAAGGACAAGAATCCCATTTCCACCAGTTAAGACAACTACTCTTCTCAGGATTATTATCCATGCGAGAATTTAATATGTCCTTCCAATCTGAGGAAATCAAAGAGGGACAGAGATATTTCTCTGAAGCGGTAAGCTGCCTTTGGTTCTGTCAGTTACCACAGGGCACGACACAGCAT